ATCTCCCTGTTTTTCTCAGAGCCTGGCAGTTAGGCCCATGAACTACCTCTGTCACCATAAAATCTCATTAACGGCCATGATCCAGAGTCTCACAAATAAATCTCAAAAGAGAGCAACAAGCTGCAGAGATGTCTTCATACCCCAAAATCACCATCCAGTTTAAAAAAATTAATTTCAACTGTATCACCCTCTTTAAAATTTTAGAATTCCTGGAGCACGTGGTCATATCCACGGCTGCATGACATCTCATACTCTATGCCCCTGATGTACCAAGAGTGGCACACCACATTTGATGGTGTAAAGTAGAAGGCAGCCAACCTTGATTTTAATAGCTAGCTAGCTAGCTAGCTAGCTAGCTAGATAGATAGATAGATAGATAGATATAGGCTGGAGCTATAGCACAGCGGGTAGGGCATTTGCTTTGCACACAGCCAACCCGGGTTCAACTCCTCTGTCCCTCTCGGAGAGCCTGGCAAGCTACCAAGAGTACCCTGCCCGCATACCGAGAGTATCCTACCCGCATGGCAAAGCCTGGCAAGCTACCCGTGACGTATTCGGTATGCCAAAAACAGTAACAACAAGTCTCACAATGGAATCGTTACTGGTGCCCACTCAAGCAAATCAATGAACAACAGGAGGACAGTGCTACATATATATTAGCACACAATGCTCAACCTATAACAACATGTTAGTAATCTCTTATGCAAGGGCTTGTTGTTGGGGTTGTAGAAGCCAGCGTAAGACTTTGACCAAATCCTCTGCCCCTGAAAGCAAGAGCCGTTCCTGTTTCCAGGGACCCAGGGGCTTGCTCCAGCGCTCCACACACGTCGGCACTCTGGTTGAGGATGAGGGACAGTTACCATTTGCCTGAGCTGATACACCTGGCCCTGAGAGCAGGAGATGTAAATCATTAACTAACATCTGTACTGAGCCTAAGGAGGTAAATGTGATACAGGTAGATTGCCCCCTGAAATATATTTGTAAAAACCCCTGTGTGAGAGCTAATAAATGGATTGCTGATTGACCACCAGCTTAGCCCCTCCACGTGGTTCTCTTTCTGAGGCGGCTGGAATCTGTGGTGCGTGGAAGGCCAGGGCAGAAGCTTCTCTCCTGCCCACTCCCTCTCCTATAGGGAGTAAGTTCTGGCCATTCCAGGGGATCATACTCCAGTGTTCTGAGGTCGACTGCCAGGACCCCAACACTTGTAATCTCTTATACAAGGGCTTAATGGCTCCAGGATGGGATACAACAATCTTCACACACTTTCCTCTAAGAAAACTTTTTGGATCATTTTTAGCAGATTATTCATGACAAGCAATACAAAATAAATTTTTAGGTACTGCTTTGGGGTGGGATTCAAAATATGATGGTGGGAAGGTGTAATTGTGGTTGGGACTGGTGTTGGAATATTGAATGTAATAAATCATTGTAAAAAACTATAAAAATAAAATTAAATTAAAAAACAAAGAGATCTGTCTAGCATTCTTAGGGGACATTTTTTAAAATCTATTTATTGAATCACCATGAGAACAGTTACAAAGCTTCAGGTTTAAGTCTCGGTAATACAATGATCAAGCAAGCACCCATCCCTTCACCAGTGCATATTTTCCACCACCAAGAACCCCAATGTACCCCGGATCCCACCCCCCCCTGCCTGTGAGGCAGATGATTTCCACTGAACTCTCTCTCTACTTTGATTACATTTATTATTTCGACAAAAGATGCACCATTATTATTTGGAATTTTCCCCTAAAAATCAGACCTGCTGAAAAGGCATCATGAAATAATTTGTTTTCTATTGCTGGTTATGAAGAGCATATGATGTAGTATAGCCACGATAGCAGATGCGTGATTTTGGATTTCTGATATTTTACTAATTAAGTCTGGACGGATTTCTTCCAAAAGCTGCATAGTTCCAAGATTGGTTTGTCTGCCTCTGGGGCCACGGCTGTGCCGGAGAGCTGCTCATGGAGGGCAACTCATGGTCTCAGTGGGGCAGGAAGGATGTGCCAGTTCCACACCACACCCCTCCCCCATCCTGTGAGGCCGAAGTTGCCCCATCACCACCCGCTCATACCTAGCTGTCCAATAGGCTCTGAGGCGGTGGCCACCGTGCCACTGGGGGCGGGGGGGAAGGTGGAAGGGACAGGCACCCTTTCCCTGCCGGGAGGCAGGGGAGCACAGCACCTTAGCTTACTGCATAGTCCATTCACATTTCTGTCAAAAGCTGCTGGGTTTTGAATTAGGCCTGCATGCCTCTGGGGCCATGGCCGTGCCGGAAGGTCACTCGTGAGGGGGGCAACTTGTGGTCTCAGCAGGGCAGGAAGGATGTGCTGGTTCTGCTCCCCATCGTTAGGGGACACTTTTTAACTGGGCTGCTTCAGGAGGGAAACTTCGGCGTTCTACAGATTAGTTAGTCCTGGGAGGGAGTAGCAGGAGACAAATACCCAATTTTAGGAAAGATTAAATTGTACATAAAATATTCTAAGCCATTCATATACAAAGGATAAGAAATACACACAGTAACTTGGATCAACTATGAAATGTTCTAAGCCAAACACGTAAAGATAATACTTTTAGCCTGTCTCAGAAAGGGAGTAATGTGGCCAATTCTATGAATTGAGGAAGCAAAGCCTTAGAATGTACATTTTGCTGGTCAATTGACAATGCAGAGGTGTCTAGGGCAGCTCTAGGAACTGTAGGGCAGAATGGAGCAGAAGTGGAACTTCGAGAGCCTCTTGGCACAGCTGGTTGTTATTTTAACAAGGAGGGTCTGAGCCTTCCAGGCCTTTGATATGGAGACTCTGGCTCAGCATCTTCTTCAGGGACTCTTGCTAGACCATTTCAACCACAATATAACTCTTGTTTATGTATATTGGTCTATGGTAAACTGGTTGTATTCTATGTTATTTCACTTAAAGTTGTATTTTCCTGCCCACCTACAACATCAAGAAAACACATATGGGGCTGGAGCAATAGCACAGCGGGTAGGGTGTTTGCCTTGCATGCGGCCAACCCGGGTTCGATTCCCAGCATCCCATATGGTCCCCTGGGCATCGCCAGGGGTAATTCCTGAGTGCAGAACCAGGAGGAACCCCTGTGCATCGCCAGGTGTGACCCAAAAAAAGCCAAAAAAAAAAAAAAGAAAGAAAGAAAACACATATTGGGCTGAGGACGGCTCAAAGGGCTAGCGTGTATAAATCAGACACAGGAGACCAAGTTCAACCCCAGTGCCACATGCTTCCCTGAGCACCATCAGGTGTGATCCCTGAGCACAGGTAGATGTGGTTCCTCAAAAAAAGAGTTGCTCTATTAATGCTTACCTTTTAGTTCTTTTGTGGGCAAAATTAGATAATTGTGACTCTGTTCCTTACACCTGATTTTATTTCATAGTAGCTGTAGTGATTACTATCACCATCATTATTTTTGTTATTACTATATCATGCCAGGCTCTCTGAGAGGAACAGAGGAATCGAATCCGGATCGGCTGCATGCAAGGCAAATGCCCTACCCGCTGTTCAAGTATCCCGCCGCACAGCAGAGCCTGGCAAGCTCCCCATAGCATATTCAATATGCCAAAAACAGTAACAACAAGTCTCACGATGGAGACATTACTGGTGCCCGCTCGAGCAAATCGATGAACAATGGGAGGACAGTGCTACAGTGCTGCTATATCATAGTTTCTATGATTCAAAAGATATGTTGTCTGTTCAAATACATCTGGTGCTGTATCCTCAAGCACTTTTCATCCATTCCCTACCAGGACTCAAACATTCCCTGAGCTGGAGAGGTCCAGAGTTAGAAGGAAGAAACCTTTCCCTCCTCATTTTTTCCCTCCGAGGTGTCTGGGCAGCTCTCGCTGAAGCATGCCTGTCAAACTGAGGCCCACTAAGAGCTTGTTAGTCCACCTTCTCACACTGCTTTCCTCCTCTTTCTCGCTCCCTGAGGATCTGCCTCCAAATTCCCTTTCACGGAATCTGAATTACTAGAAACCACTCTTTCCATAGAATTCACTGTCATCTCTGAAGAGATGCTCTTCATTTTGCTTCCTTCATGGGGAATTGTTTCCTTTCTTTGAAACACCTGAGGGAAGATGAAGGCATGAGGCTTTCCTAGTTCACATCTTTTTCACTCGCCAGCAAAGCTTAGGCTGTGCACCCCTGTTGCCAGAGACTGACTCGGGCTGCCCCCGCCCGCACTTGAAAGCACCCACATAACATGTTTTTGAGGACCATCACCAAACACCCATCAAAAGTACCCCCTTTGACTTGGGATGTAGGGTTTCATTAAACGAGACCTGCTGAAGGTCAGCCACGAATCTGAAGTCAGAAACTGTATCGGCTTTTCTATTTCTGATGTTAAAACAAGTGAGGAATCTGGGACCTGGGCATTAGGAACCAGAATACCTACCTATACAATGTGATTCTCTGTCACGAGTCCCCTTCTGCCCTATCCTGAATTTAAGACAGCCTGCCCAACCCCTACCTCCATCCCAGAAGGTGCATGTTGCATGTTGAACCTTCCTCCCTATCAGCCCCCATGGAAGTTTGGCGGACACTAATTCTATGTCGCTGCATCCTTAGGGACAGCTCAGGGTCTCAGGCCCCCAGCCCCGACTGCGACGGCGTTTGCTGCCTCTCCTCCCGGAAGCGTCCAGTACGACCTGTCTCAGGATTCCCCAAGCCAGTGCTCTCTGACCAGTGCTCTCTGCTCTAACCGTAGTTCAAAAGAATTCTTCTGTCGCCTTCCCCCAGGGCTGCACCACGCTGAGCCCGTCACCTTGTTTTAGCTGCCTTTTAGGTCCCTCTCCTCCCACGTAAATAGAATTCTGATGCTTTTTTCTGACGTGAATCTCCTATTTCTGGCTATTCACTCATTGAGCCCTGCCATTGCCTAGCAACGTGGCCCCGCCCCGCGCCTCGCGCGCACACGCTCCGCCCCGCCCCCGCCTGGGCGCGCGGTTGTGACGTGTGCGCCCCGCGACGCTTTCGCCGGCCGAGCGCGGGGCTTGGCCTTCCGGACCCGGGGGCTGTCGAGCGCCATGGCCTCTGCCGGGGTGGCCGCGGGTCGACAGGCCGAAGAGGCGTTGCCGGCCCCCGCCGAGCCTCCGCTGGCCGAGACCAAGCCGCTGCCGCCGCCGCAGCCGCCCGCGCCGGCCGCCGCCGCGCAGGGCCCGCAGCCGCCCGCGCCCCGGCCCCCGTCGCCGGCGGGCCTGAAGGAGGACGAGAGCTACTCCTTTCTGCCCCTGGTGCACAACATCATCAAATGGTAAGGCCGGGCCAGGCCGCCCCGCTGGCTTCCTCCCGCCGAGTCGGGCAGTGCCCCTCGGGCTGCCCCCGCCCGCACGCGCCGCACGGCCGGCCCCGCCCCCGCCGGGTGGTCAGCGCGCCGCTCCCGGGCCGCACAGTCTAGGGCTAGTGAGCAATCACGAGGGAAGCGGGGAAAGACGTGAACGGAGGTGACCCCCCTCCACCCCCAGACGCACTGCACATCTGCCCTGCAGCACCTCACCATCAGGCCTTGCCCGCCCAGGTGTTTCCCGCAGAGGCCCTGAGTTCTCGAAGCACCGCTGGGGAGCCTCCTCCCGCCCCCCCCCCCCCCCGTAAAAAGCAAAAATGACTATTACAATCACGCTCAGATGAACGCGAATGGGCTCCTAGATGTCTCTTGTGAAGTGGAATTACTGCTCACCACATGAAAGAGCGGTCCTGGCTGGGCCCTTCCTGAGTTGAAGCAGGCTAGGAGCCACTCGATGTGGGATAACTTGACGTTTCTGCCACTTTTCAGACGGCCAAGCCTTTTTTCCCACAGTAGACCTGACTTGACTTGGTCTGTACAAACTGTTTAGAAGGTAAGGCGGAAGCACCACTTCTCAGCATCAAGCTAGACAAGATAAGTCCCTGCGGTTCCAGGGCAGAACTGGTGAAAGGGTAATCCAGATAAACACAGATATGCACACACTGGTTTTAACAAAAGTATGAAAGCACGGACACATTCATAAGACCACTTCCAGACACCCCCTCCCCCCACCAAGTACCTGTATTCTTACAATTTTGGTAGAGCAGTGGGGGTAGATTGGCCTTAAATGCATGGCATTGGGGCTAGAGACATAATATAGAGGTAGGAATCTTGCCTTGCATATAGCTTGCATTTAGCTCAGTATGATCATAGACACTGCATATGGTCCCCTGGATCTTTGTAGAGTGATTCCTGCGCAAAGAACCAGAAATAAGCCTGAGCACTGCTGAGTGTAACCCCCAAATCAAAAATGCACTGTAGCACTGTTATCCTGTTGTTCATTGATTGCTCAAGCCAGCACCAGTAGCGGGTCTATAGCCCAGTAGCGTCTGCTCGCTCCAGGAACACAAAGTGAGACTTGTTACAGTTTTTGGCATATCGGAATCACTAAGGTTAGCTTGCCAGTCTCTGCTGTGCAGGCGGGATAGCTTGATAGTCTCTTGGTAGCTTGCCAGGCTCCCCAAGAGGGACGGAATAATCAAACCCAGGTTGGCCGCGTGCAAGGCAAACGTCCTCTCAGCTGTGCTATCATTCCAGCCCAAAAATAAAATTAAAAATAAAATGGAAAAAGTAATACTGGACTAAGGTAGGTACAATAGAACATGGGCTTTGAATTCCCATAGTCAGTCTTGGATTCAAATCTCATTCTAATGCCTGCCTTTTAATGATAAAAACCTTTCTAAGCCTTAATTTACTTATCTCTAATTATGTAAAAAGCAATATTGGACTTCAAATGGCGGGTTCAAATTATAGTTTTGTAATGCACTGGCTGAATGGCCCTCTTCAGATAACTTAGTTTCTCTGAGCTTCTATGAGATAGGAATAGTAATATCTCAATCATAAGATTGTTGTGAGGTATACTCAAGAGCTGCTGATTTTGAAAGGTAATGGTTTGAACATGGGTTTATATGTGTGTGTATGTGTATTTGTTTGGGGGCCAGAAAATGGCGGGGTGAGGGGAAGATAGTGGATAGGGCATTTGTCTTGCAGCCAATCCTGGTTCGATCCCTGGCACCCCATATGGTCCCCTGAGCCCCGCCAGAAGTAAGCCTGAGCACAGAGCTAAGAGTAAGCCCTGAGCACTGCCAAGTGTGCCCCCCCCCACACACACACACAAAAGAAAAAGAAAAAAAGAGAAAAGGAGGAAATAGGAGGTGCCTGGCACTGTCAATTCCTGAGATTTGAATGGAGGTTATGGTGAAAGGCTGATACTTCTCGGGGTTCATAATTTGAATTAGTCTTTGGCCACCCATTTTATGGCATTTATCTTGTCCCCTTTTTTCTTTAATGGGAGGACCCACACCCTGGCAGTGCTCAGTCTGTCTCCCGTTGGCCTATAAAGCCAACACAAATTACACATGTAAAGATTAGAGTTAGCCCTTTCTCATGATTGCACATACATACATTCTCTGACATATTGTTTTTTATCTCATGGTTTACTCTGCCCTTGTTTTGTCCTTTGCTACTCCTTGACATGCTTATCAGCTTGGTTGTTGTGATGTATTTAATAATAAAACACCAACAGCACGGTGGAAGCTCTGAGTAGGATTGCTGCCGCTTTCTTTCCTCTTATGAACTGACAGTCTCATTCTTGAGACCTCCCTGCTGTCTTTACCCTCTGTGGTCAGACACCCAGAGACGGTGCCTCCTCCTCTCCAGATCCTGGTCTAGAAGCCAGATGGGACTGTGGACTAGAGCGGGACACTCATTGTTCAGTTTGTGAATTTTCTCTTGTCAGCATGGATCCCCTCTTCCAGCTCCTGCATGTGCCTGGGGCCCCCACCTCCAGTTTCTATTGGGAATTATTTTCTAAGAAGAAATCTTGGGGCAGAGGAGTTAGTTATTCTTCAGGGTGGAAGGAAAACTGTCTGTTTGGAATGGTGGGAGCAGACTGCAAGGATCTTCTTAGACTGCAGTAGGGGGTAATGCCCCCGTGAGTCTCATCTACGGAGAGAGGAGGTAGGAAGGGCAGTGTAGGAAGAGCAGGATAAAGATGTGATACCCCCAAAAATAGCATTTACTATTGGTTGCCACTTGGAGTCAACTCTCAGATGGGTCGGCTTGGAGCAGAAATCTAAGAGGGTAGGAAGGGAAAGCTGGAGAGACAGAAGCAAGATTCTCTGGGTAGGTTCCCCCTCTCCTACCTCCTTAGGAAATAACAATTTTTTCTTCTCAGGACGGGGGAACTAGCAAAGGTTTGGGACAAGGGATCCAAAGTCAAGTTTCATGCTGGAGATGGGTGGCACTGCTGAAGGAGTAGGGCTCAGGACTGTCCAGCAGCCAGGCCACAGCCCCTCCTTTCCTACGGCTTCCTCAGAGACTTGAATTATTTGCTTATTTCTTGCCCACAGGATCAGTAGAGAAAGAACTGAAGTGAGTTGAACCTTACTGGTTTTCATAAAGAATTCAGAATACTATAATTTCTTATTTTATTTTTTAATTGAAAAAGCAAGAGGGCCTGGGAGCCGGCTCAGGGGCCTAGAGTTCCCCACATGGTGCCTGCTCCCCCGGAGAGGCTAGGCATCTCCAACAGAGGCCAGTGAAGATGACTTTGTGAGTTCAGGAGTGGCCAGCACCAGTGTGAGGCCGTGAGCTACATCTCCAGCTCTGGGGAGGGAAAGAAAAACAGTTGAAGGTCAGAAGTACAGAAATACGTAAATTGAGAAAAATTCAACCCACCCCCAAAGATAACCACTGTTCATGCTTCTAAGTCTTTTTCCAGGAATTAGACATGTGTGCATGTGTTTTCAAGATTTCACACTAGAATGAACCCTACTTGTGCAGGAGGCCTCCCACCCTTTCCCCATTGTTTGTAGTCTGTCAGATAAAAGCGCAAGCCCTGTGGTGTTCAGGATTACTCCTGGCTTTGAGGAGCCAGTGGGCAAGCACCTGTTTGCTGTACTATCCCTCTGCTCTTCTCTGAATTTGGGGGAAAAACAATTTATACGAATTGAATTACTTTACTTTTTTTCCCCCTTTAGTCTTTTTTTCTGGACCCCTTTCCCCACTCCCACATAGAAGTCTTCCTCATGGGGGTAGTTGCATCATACATTACATATAGTTATCTGTGTATGGTGTTTCTCTCATTTTTTCTATGATCAGTTGTGCCGGAGTAAGCATCCTTGTGTTTGAGTAACTGTATGATGAGGCCAGTGCTGGAATTGCTTTTGAAGGGGTGTGCCCATTGTAAATTTTATTTAATTCTGATTGCTAAATTTAAATTGCCCTGTCTTTAGAGCTAGCTCCTTCCCCGGAATGCAGTTAATCTATAGTGGCCCATTAAGGCTGTCACCCAGAAGGCATTAAAAAGAAAAGGTTGATGTATTCAGAGAGCACCCGCATATATGAAATGAAAGAGCCTCTTCTTGCTGTTCCCAAGCATGTGAGACTCCTTTTGATGACTCGGCTCTTCCTAAACTGTTCTGATCAAGGGCACTTTCATTGTTTCTGGCCTTTTGCTTTTGCAGTCAGCACGGCTGTGGGCCTCTCCAGATGCCATTTTGTAAACCCAGGAGGGTTTTTGTAGGGTGGGTATTTAGCTGTGGGATGTGTGAGTTTCAAAGCTTGGTCACCACATCTCAAATTCAGAAGGAATGCCTGGGTACATGCTCCCCTCAACAATGTATTTGTGTCTTTTCCCCACACTCCTGTGACAACCGACAAACTTAAAAACCTGAATCTTACCCGATCTGATCAGAAGTGCTGTATTGTTGTGGCTTTTATTAGGGAAAGTGTCTATGTCATTTGTATTTTTCTGTCTGTAACCTGCCCCTTTTCCATTTGGGCATTTTTTCTGAGCTCTTTGTCTAGTGAGGACAGTGTGCCTTTGCCTACCATTGTTCTAGGTAGACAGGCTGCCTCTGCGGTTACCCCTGTAACCTTCTGCTTCTTTGGACCTTCTGCTCTCTGGTACCAAGTCGTTTTAGTTCTCAAGTGCACATAGCACATTTAATTATCTTTCGAGGTTAGTCTGCATGCCTTTTTCTTTATTGGGAGAGTTCATCCTCAACATCTTTATCTTTCCCAGTCTGATTCTTTATGGCCCAACTGAGATGCATACTGCTTTTAATTTGTGGAATATTTAGTTGTTAATCAGCTTCTTCCAGACTTGTTGCTTTCTCACCATTTGGATCTTCAAACCTCGTTTATCGGCTCTTAGAATCACTGCTTAGTTGGCCTCTTGTGGTAGCTGTTTGGGGCCCACACCTGACTGCTCAGGGATCGCTCCTGGCGGGGACTGGGAGACCATC